AAAATTGTCCAAGCATCAAACAGAACTAACAAATCTTTGTTTGAATATTTTGTTATAGCTAATAATTCACATATGGTGACATCTTACTAATCAAATCAAACAACAACTTCTGTTTGTTAATTAAGGCATTTATTAAGCTAAGCAAGAGTCTTCAACCTTTTTTAGTATTTGGTCTTATTTTTTCTTTTGATATGGTACCTACAAATAAGGTACCCTAGTTTAGTTATTATGTAGATTGTTTATGATTATAGTTCAATATTGAAATATTGCTTTAATTATTGAGATATGAGATCTCCTGGTTTGCTTCTTAATAAAATTTCTTTAAGTTTTGTCTTTAAGCTCTCTTTGTCTTACATCACACAGGTTCAAGTTTTCTTTACCAGAAAATTTTGATGATTCTTTTCACTTAGAAATCTTAAGGGAAGCATTGCTGAAGACACTTCATGATATTGATGCGGCATTCTCTAAGGCATGTTTAGTATTATTTCTATTTATCTTTAGAATTTCTCATTCTCTTATGTTGACATTCATTTAATTGAGTCACGACCTATGAAGGAAGCATCTAGAAGTAATCTTGGTTCGGGTTCTACAGCCACAGTTGTACTAATAGCAGATGGTCACATTTTAGTTGCCAACATCGGCGATTCAAAAGCATTTTTGTGTACTGAAAAATTTCACTCCCCAGCAGAGGCTAAAGGTAAGTAGGATTTTGTCTTAAAATTCAAGGTATAAAAACTACTTTGATGTATATTATGGTAGTTTGTATATCTAAAATTGTCAAGGTTAAGTCAATCTTTGGCTATGGGCTCACTTTGTTGAATGTGAATCTCATTTGGCACAAAATAACAGTTTTTTTGACATAAAAATGTGCTAAGTTGAATTCTCATGATTCTTGTCTTGCTTATTGCAGCCATTTTAATAAGGTTATATAGGGAGCAAAGACGTAATGGTCTTTTTTCAAGAGATTTTGACAAAAAGTTGGCATCCTCCAATGGATTGGCACGTTTTGTTGTTAAGGAATTGACGCAAGATCATCATCCAAATAGAGATGATGAAAGAATTCGAGTTGAAGCTGCTGGTGGTTATGTTATTGAGTGGGGTGGTGTGCCGCGAGTGAATGGACAGTTGGCTATTTCCCGAGCTATTGGCGATGTATCTTATAAAAGGTTATTTTCGAAACCCTTTGAAAACATGTATGCATGGTATTTTACTCTTTCATTTCTCTGTTGATCAATTTTCACTTACAATGTAATTAGTTCAGTTCTTATCTGTTTATTATTCAACACCCTCCATTGGGTTTTCCTGTTTTATAACTTCTCCTGATTAATTTTTTTTTCCACCATTAGTTATGGTGTTATATCTGCACCAGAGGTAACCGATTGGCAACCTTTAAGTGTGAATGATAGCTATCTGGTGGTTGCATCTGATGGCGTATTTGAAAAACTGAGCTTGCTGGATGTTTGTGATATACTTTGGGAAGAAAGCAGCCGCGATAGGACGAGATCAGGGCTTTCTTCCTCCTGCTTATTTTCTTTGGCTGATTGTTTGGTGAATACTGCTTTCGAGAAGGGCAGTATGGACAACATGGCAGCTGTTCTGGTTCCTCTGGGATCTAATTATATTTATCAGAACCAGCTTCCAGAGGGTTTTGCTTTGGAAGGAGAGTTGGATAGTTCAAGTACTGGACTTCAAAGGTTAACGTATGAGCTTTCATGTAAGTAAGAGCATAAGTTCCTGACAGATAA